ATTCTGATATCATCAGTTTATCCAGAGATGTGACTTTATTTTTCTTGTTGGTTACGATAATACATTACTGTTTAGTCTGAATCCTAATTTTATATAAATTTATTGTCATTTTTTATGTTAATATAAAGAGGAAACCTCAAATAGTATTTGTATATTAAGATTTCCCAGATAGAAAGAAACAAAAATATTGCAAGCTGACAGGGAATGATTCAAAATTTTAAGGCGTTTTTCCTCAGAATCATTTCTTTTTTTGTTGCTACTGCTCAAAAAAAAATGCTTCAAATTTTTTTTACAGTCCATTCAAATGATTCATTGATGAGGCATTAATTCATTATATTTTAACAAAATGCAAGTTTTGCACACGTTTAAATCAAAACCCTATAAATGCCTATTTCTCCATGTTCCACTTTTGGACTCAAGCCTCGTTTCGATGTGATGGATCAAAAATAAATTATTGTTTTTCACTTGAGTTTTGCATCACAGCGCTTCATGAGGTTTCAGTGACAAATATCACTGTTCATTACTGAAATAGATGCAACCAAAAGTACTTTTTCTCTAAGAAAAATTGCAAAAAATTGTTTTGTTTTACCAGACTCCAGGAAGACCTGTTTTTTTATTKAATTTTTTTAGCTTGCGTATTTCATCCTGCAAACTTAACATAGGTGGGTTTAAAGTGTCCACTGCAGTATTTTTTGTTTTTCTCAACTGTAGAAGCTCTGATTCCTAATATACTTAGTTGGACTGAGTGTCACATTCTGTTCAACCAAATCAGCAGAGCTCTAATCTTAACTCAAAACCAGCCTCCATTCTGACAAATCCATTCAAGTCCAAACCCATTGCGCTGAACTTTGAAATGCGAGCGTGCACTTCAGGCGTGGGGCTTTTCAAGAAAAAAATAAATAAAAATCTCTTCTGAAATGTGACATTTGAACGAGTGTTTCACTAGAACACAACACGTTGCCGACTGAATTCACCTCCTTGAGAGACGTCCACTAAAACCCACGAGGACAGAATATGAGTCAGACCATTTCACATGGAGAAAGTGCATTTTCTGGTGATTTTATCAACCTGACACCGCTGCTAACCACATCAGTCGAGTGCCAACACTGTCTACAGCTACGACAGGAGCTTTGATGGTAAAACTGTAACGTATGAGTATTTAGGCTAGGAAGTAMTATTTTTGTAAATGGTCATGGTTGCCTTTAGTCTGAGCCTGTAGTGGTATCTTTATAACAACCCTACCTTGCTGCAGTCTCACCCTCCTTATCCAGCTTGTCTTGGCATTCTGCTTGTGCCTTTAGCACACTTGGCACCGGGTTTCTCGTCCTTCAGCTACTTCCTCATCCTCTCCCTCCCCTGCCTTCTACTCCCTCATCCCCTCTTATCTTAAAGTTGCCACTTTAACAGAACAAAACAGCATCGAGGAAGGCAGCGTTTACTGTAAGTTTTTTTTTTATTTAAAATCGGAAGTAAAGGAGTAGAGATTTGCCTAACCCTAACATGYCACTGAAACAACGATTTGGCATTTTCTAGGAGTATTTGCGTACTATACAGTGCTCTCTGCTATCACCACTTAATTTACTCCCCGGCATTTGTATAAACTCTTCCTTYGGGGTTGTTTGAGAGTTGCAATTCAAATGAACACCAACAGATATCTCGCCTTTCTTTCCCATGCAGAATGAGCCTTCGGACTGTTAACCTGTCAGGATGTTTGAGCTTGCTGAAATATCATGCTAATGAGGCAGAAAGAGTTCAAGCAGACGAGTTTAAGTTGAAGAGGGCTGACAAAGCTGGTATTTAAAGAACATTCAAAGCCTGATTCATGCCGGGTGTGTTTCAGCACACCTTTTTTCTCTGCTCCTGTCTTGAAGGAGGCTTTATGTTATATAACCTGTGTCGACAGAATTGGTCTTTGGATATATTTGATTCCCCCCTAAAAAYGACCTTTCATGAGGAAAATTCCTTTTTAACAATTCTTGCAAATTTTATTGTTGAATTTTAATGATAGTTGCTTTTTTTTCAATTTATAATAAGTTTAGAGCAAACGTCACTTTGTAGCTCCATCCTGAGTAGTATCAGTACTTCGATTTAATTCGTAATAAACTGAAAATTACAGACTTTCTCTAAATCAACAYAGCTGTAACTTTCCAATATTCATTTATTGTATGTAAGGGGATGCACATTAACTGTTGAGTCACTTTAAGTTAATTTGTAGTTTTATTAGGATAGTTTTTTTTTCATTTATTGTACCTTTTACCCTGCATTCCTCCCATCATTTCAGATGTGTTGTAAATTACCAGCTGGTATTTATACACAGACACTTGGGCAGTTTTTTTTTTCTGCCTTTCCTTGTCTGTACTTTCTTTGAATGCTGAATCATGTTGCCCACGTTGCACAAATAATGCATTAACCTCCACTCTTCCCCTCCGTCTCGCTATATTTACGACTCTGCAGTAACACTGTCTAGTCCCAGGTGGCCGTCAGCTGCTGGAATGCTGCATCCTGAAACGATCGAACAAATTAATATCTTCCTAATCTGAGCCAGACACAGTTGCTGAGGGGGGAAAAAAACCATAAATTTAATCCTGGATTTTTTTTTTTTTGTCATGAACCATCTCTGGATCGTTTCCAGCTGATGTTTGCAAGTGCTGMAGCTGAGTGTGCACGAGTGTCAGGGACAGATAGATGGAGTAGCAGTGTGATGTTTGTGTTGGTGTCTCAATGCAGCACAATAAAGCTTGTCAGGCAAGTGGCATTCTTTTTGTTTCTCTGCTTTGTTCCTATTCGCCAGTGTTGCACAATCTTCTGTCATAGCAGATGCAAATACTGAACCGTTTTTATTTTTTTCAGAGGCGTGCCATTTATTTAGTTGGAAAGGTGCACAAAGGGAAATGGTAAACTGACTTTTCACTGAGAGTGCTTCTTTATGAAGCAGGAGCCAGGCTTTGACCCGTCTCTGTGGCTTTTAAATAGCCAGGTCAGTAACCAGAAYCACACTGGGTTTCATTTCAGTGACGACAAAGGAAAGTTGAATTTGTAGTCACAGTTACTAACCTACACKCCTGCTTTTTAATTTTGTTTTTTACTTAATTTCAGGTCAAGATCATATCTTTTTTTTTAATGTGAATTAAATGAAATGTAATAATTCTGACAATGTGATGGTCAAATCTTCTAATCAYCTGTGGTGGCAAGATTTACCAAGAATGCAGAAACACGTTGGAATAAATGCACAGGAAGTCTGCGTGTATGGTCGTCAAATGATTTAATGTGAGCAACAACAGAGCAGGAGTCARTCAGCGAAGTCTGTCAAGYTGTGGCTYACATTAAATCRTTTGACGACCATACACGCAGACTTTCTGTGCATTTATTCCAACGTGTTTCTGCATTCTTGGTAAATCTTGCCACCACAGTTTTTTGGCGTTGTTGGCAGGACCATTACATCTTTTGTCTAAAGGGTTATCAGACAACACTGACTGTATCCATTATCTTAATGCAATCTATTAACTCATTATTCAGATCAGAGTTCTTCAACCCACTGTCCTGCACATTTTAACTCTTTCTCCTGCTTCATCACRCCTGGCTGAAAAGAATGAGTGATTGACAGGCTTCTGCTAAACTTGATGAGRTTCTGAGCAGGTCATTTAATTATTTGAACCAGGTGTGTCGAAGCAGCTGAAACTGTAATTCAGATGAAACACATTTGGATAAAGACATACAAATATTGTACCAAAACTAGTTAAATTACTTCAAACCTGTTTTTCTTTTAGTTAAMGGCCCAGGAGGATAAATGACTTTGTATTACGCCAATTTTTATTCACATAAGATTACTTTTCATAGAAAAATGATGCAGACTAATTTGCATTGACATTTAATTCATTTATTTATGCTGCTGTTGAGTATTTTTCTTTCTGTGACATTTCTGTCACGCGTAGCGTTCAGCAAACACAAACGGAAGCGCAGGTTTGCTAATCTCCCACTTTTTGTTTGATTTGTCCGTTTGGCCAGGCTCGGTGCTGGACGTGATCAAGCATATCATCTCACGAGGTGAACACAAGACGGGCGTCCTGGACGAGGCCAGCATAGCCACCGTRTTGAAAGACGTGCTCGAGGGCTTGGAGTACCTGCACAAGAACGGACAGATCCACAGGTAGGCTGCCTCCCACGCTGCTGCGGTAATAAAACTAACACGTGTACGAACAGTTTATTACACTTTACCATCAAAGGAGAAATGCAAATCCCTGACTGCTGTTCTTTGCTCCGGTCCTGCCCCTCACARAGACTCCAGGGAACATTGTGTTTTTGTAGTGGACGCAGCGAGCAGTGATTTAGGTCCAATCACAGCCCCACTATTAAAACAACAACGTATGTTGGATTATTCTTGGGATATTTTAGCTTTTTAATGAGGAATTAAACCTTTCTACAAAACAAATCTTTTTTTAAGATGAAAACTTTTAATGTAAGGTGAAAAACTTTGCTCTCATTGATTTATTGGATGACATTTCCACCATTCACTCCCTTCTCCATTAACCTGACTCCCATAGTAGCTCCTTTTTCTTACCTCTGTGTGTAGAACAACTCATGATGAGCTTCCTTTGAGACTGAGAGATATTCAATTCTTTACATCTCACATTAAAAAAGCAGCAGCAAAAAAAAGATACTGCCTGGCATCTGTTCAGATATATACAACGGAGTATTAGGGCCACACAACGAGATTTTTAAAAATTTTTAACAACTGAGAATAAAGTCATAAAATTGCGACATTAAAGTCATATAAAAATAAAATCATAATATTACAAGATTAAAGTCATAATGTTACGAGAATAAAGTCGTAATATTCTAGCCTTTACATGAAAAAGCATGCAGTTACCACTGCATTAAAATGAGGAATGTTGAGCMACTTGTCAAGTTGTTCTTCAGTGTTGCTTAAAAAAATAGTTAATCTTTTAGCACATTAGCATCAAATTAGTAGCAGGACCTGGATACTGTGCAAACGACTATAAACTGAAGCTGTATTGTAATTAATGGATGCATTGACAGATTTAGTCGTCACGTAGCTAATTTGGATGAAAGTATATTAATCCAACAGTGACCCAAGTCATCACAGAGTACTTTATAAACACAGACACACACAGAAGGTGTGAGGAAAATGAGGAACGAAAAATGGACACTTCAAGTAAGATTATGACTTTTTTCTCGTAAAATTATGACTTTAATCTCGTGTAATCATGACTTTAATCTTGTGTAATCATGACTTTAATCTTGTGTAATTATGACTTTATTCTCTTGTAATTATGACTTTAATCTTGTAATGTTACGACTTTAATCTCGTAAAATGACTTCTTTAATCTCGTAAAATGACTTCTTTAATCTCGTAAAATGACTTCTTTAATCTCGTAAAATTACGACTTTAATCTCGTAATATTATGACTTTAATCTAGTAACATTACGACTTTAATCTCGTAATATTGCGACTTTAATCTCGTCATATTATGACTTCAATCTTGTAATATTATGACTTTAATCTCATAAAATTACGACTTTATTCTCGTATCAATAATAAAAAAAATCTCGTTGTGTGGCCCTAATACTCAGTCGTAGATATACGTGGTGCATCAAGAGGAAAAAAAAAAATCAAAAACGATTTATCAGCTTGCACCCCTTTTGATAATATTTTATTTGTGTACCAAGTATTGTGAAAGAAGATGTCTGGAGTCTCATTTGTACTGTAGGCAGTGATCTTTAATATTCTCTGTCCACTTGTGCAGATTATTTTATAATTTTAGTGCTGTGTCTCATTCAAAAGACAGGAAGTGGCAGTGGCTTTTCATCAGAYCAAGCATTTAGTAGCACATCTGCCACGTCTAAATGCCAGGGACAACACGGGGACCTGCACATAGCACTGGTAGTTTATTTAACCATTAAGACTGTAACAAGTGATCCATAAGAGCGAGCAGTGGTTATAGGTCTTCTTTATTAGCTGTAAGCTTGTACACGGGATGGAAGGGGTTGTAACGTCGCTGAACTGTGAAACTGCTTGAGGACGTTTTTGAAAAAACAAAAAAACAAAAACTCGGGTTAGCAATAAACCTAACATGCATGTCTGTCAGGTCTGTGGGAGGAAACCCTTGTGTGCACAAGGATAAAATGCAAACTCTACTTAGAAAGGTACCCAGCTGGGGTTCAATCTGACCTTCTCGTTATGAGGCAAAAGCTCTACCAAGTGAGCCGCTGTGCCACCAGAAATAATCATCCAAACACAAGCTCAGTTTTATAAGTTTATTTTAATTATCTAGATAATAAAAGGAGAAAATTCTGTATAAGATGTTTCTGCTCCTACGTCTACTCAGGTAATGAGTTTTCAGTCAGTGACTAAAAGATTGCTTTTCTCTGACATGATCATCGTTAACCCTGTTTTTTTTTTTCATTAGTGAAACACTTGCTGCTGTAGATCACTGCAGCCTCAAGGTTTGAGCTGTTTTTCCGGCTGCAAAGTTGAGGTAGTTTCCCAGTATTTAAACAAAAAAAAGAGGGGGTTGTGTTGGTTGGATAATGTCTGCCAGTGTAAATWTGTGCTCATGTGTTCACCCTGTATAATCTGTATCATATGAGAAGGAGCCTCAGAGCAGGGATGAACGGGGAGCCGAGGCTGTGTGGAACGGAGGACAACAGGAGAAAAGTGTCACATGATTTGTTCCACTCGGCACAGGACAGCTGAAAAGCAATTAGCGTCTCGGAGCCCGAGCTTGTAGGCTCAACTGGAGATATTTAACACAAGGCAGTGAACTGCTCCACCTCCTCATTCACAGCAGCTCGAAAAGGTCGTTATTAAGGAGTGAAACTTGTCTTCCAACTCCAACAGCAGGTTGACACCACACACACGATACGAGAGCCAGACGTTGTCAGATAAATTGAGGAAAATTGGCCTCCGGGTTAACCAGTGCTGCTAAATTATGAGATGCTGAAGAGACCTTTGACACGCAAATTACAGTGAAAGCTGTCCCTGCGAGAAGAGATGCTTTAGCTGTGTGTTCTCTGAGAAGAGCGTATGAGAATCGGCAGTACGAGGAAAAAAAAGGCGATCAAATTTTAGTCGCAGGGGAGAGATAATTTTATGGTCAAAGGGGTATTTTTCAGATGGTAGGATGGAAAAGGGATTTCATTCTCATCTAAGGCCCACGAAGCATCTAATAAAGCTTCTTTTACAACCCTGTGAGGAACACMGTGAGCCTGGCACCAGGATGTAATGTCTGAGGAGGTGACCCAGCGGAGCTGCAAGCTACGTGACTGCCAGATGAGAATGATAAATCTCCCTGACAGTTTCATACCTTGGCCGTTCCCACCTGGCCACTGGCTGGCTATTATGTTAGTATGTCATAAATGTGAGGGTAACTTATTTTATTCATATTTTTTTGGTATCATTTGGTTGCGTAACATTGTCTAGTTTCTGAGAAAAGTTCAGAAATTGGATTTATAATGCGACGTTCAAATAAAACTCTTCATGCAWCACATCATGGTAAAATAAAACTCAGGGCTTTTGTTTATTTTTTTCATTCTGTCTGCTAGTTTGTCTTTAAATGTGCGTGGTACATTGTGTCCCACTACCTCCTCCTCTTCCTCTTTCTCTTCTGTGAATGTTAATGACTGTCTGCACTCCTCAGCTTTTCTTTTAGGGCATCACAGTCTGCTGCAGTCAACCATAGCCTCCATGGGTTATGATTCACTGCAACAATGAAGTACAAAGATTTTTAAATAAATATTTATTCCTATTATAGAGAGTTTTAAACTACAAACAGCTCGTGATGACAGGGGATGAAGTCAAAGCCATTTGGGTTGAATTTAGTCATGATGCTAAATCTCTGTGAAATTTTGCGACCCATTAGCGTTTAAAGTTATGTGTTTAGCTGAATACTCAGCTACTACCACACCAAATTCTACTTTAATATCTGTAAACATCGACTTAGCCAAATAGCTATCTACAATCAGTGTTTCATTGAAAACYGTTCATTGGCTTCATTTGTTATTTTGCTAACAGACAAACACAGACATGTGAAAAGGTCTTTCACCTTTTGTGGCGAGCAATAAAAATGGTTAAAAGTGCTTAATATAACACTTTAGAGCAGGGCTATTCAACTGGCAGCAAAAGCCCATAGACATGTTTGGTGTCTACAGAAACRTTAGAATCTTGGCTAGAAGCTGGTTAAAACCATTTCAATGAACAACCAAGACAGTTAAAACTACAAGCAGTTGAAGATAAAACTATGAAAGTGAAAATAAAATTGATTTAAAAATTTGGCAAGTCAGAGATGTCAAAATATTATTTGTGGTAAATAAGAGGCAGAATGTGTTATTTTTGTTTTTGTTTTATTATTACTACTTTTTTAGGGTTCTGTATGTTTTATTCATGATTAAATGCCGCAAAATAAACTATTTCAAAGGTAACCRATCTTTGTAATACTTGGTTTAATTAGATAATGACTTTAATTGCTGSATGTTCRGCCCCTGAGCTGTTGGTCTGCAGTAACTGTGGCCCCCRAAGCAGTTTAGTTGAATAGTCCTGCTTTAGAGACATACAAAGCTTTTACTAAAGAATAAAAGAAGCCATGAGTTTCTGGACTTGTTACAAATTCTTTTTTTCTTGTACAAAGTGGCACAGATGGCTCTCTGTAAATTATTCCGTGTTTTTTTTTATCCTTAAAAAGTCTCTGCGTGTCCTAAAGCTGCACTTTTTTCCCTCCTCTRTATAATGTTTTAAAATGACAAATGGGCAGAGCTTTGTTTAATTGTCCCTTTCTGTGTCCAGAATACAAAAACAACACATTATTTAGTCCAGGTGAGTCTGCTGAAGCATTGACAGCTTAAATCAGTTCTTCCCAACCCTGGTCCTCAGGGCACKCCATCCTTCAAGACCCGAGCTGTCTTGACAGTTTGTCCTCAAGTTCCACTGAAGCCTGGTAATTATACATCGGTGWCAACCTGGTGCGTCAAGGCAAAATAAAATACCTAAAACACAGAGGGCAGTTTCCCCTGAAGACCCAGCTTGAGATGCACTGAGTGAGAGGAAGAAGTTACATTTTAAACTTCCCCTCCAGTTCCTTCAAATGCAACTTCTTACACAATCGACCACGTGTTTCACACGAAGGGGTTGAGAATGAGCGWTTTGTAAGAGAAAACAGAAAGTGCAAATAACTGGATGACTGTGTGACCTGGTATCACCCAGMTGTGAGGTGACAGACTGCCAAGCAGCAGACGCAGAGCTCAGAAATCAGCCTCACAGTTCCAACAGGCGATGGTCTCTTACCCATCCCACAGATGATTATTTTACACTTGTCTAGACGTAGAGCCATATCAGAATTTTACCTCACTACGACTGCAAACGACTGCTGAACACAACTATTTAGAAAATACATTKATCGATACAGGCGGCAGCTATACTCTTTGTGTTTTGGTCTCTTTGAGAAGGGAATCCCTCATTTCTTTTAGGCTCATGAGCAGCCTTCATCCCTCTGGAGCTCAGTGTTTGCCACTCCCTGCCCTTTGTCGCCATGGGATGTGTTGGCTGCGTGCTAATATATTGAAGCACGTCTTTAGCGAAAGTGGCCTCTTCACTCAAGWACGCAGCAGATTTTTAAACGACACTCAGAACTGCTGTCCTCAAACACTTTGGTTCCTCTTTAGCATATCGTGTGCCCAGAAGGAGCCAACAGAAAACCTCAGGATTTGTTTTGGAAGTTACAGAAAGATTTTAAATGGTTTTAACATTTTACGTCTGTGCTGCTGTCTTTGTAACTTACAACAAATTTGTGTTTAGTAGATCATTTCTTTGTTGTAACAATGCTTCTTGGCAATAAATCTGWTTGCGGGCACCTGATTGGCAGCTCAAAACAATATTCAATATTAACAGCAAAATAAGATGTTTGTCAGAGAAGATTTGGAAAATTTTTCATGTGCACCACCCACGTACTCAGCTCTACTGCTCATCCCACAAATGCATGTTCCTTACAAATGTGGCACCATTTAAWAGTGGATATATCATGCAAAAATCTTATGTTTTTAGCCGTTAAGTAATTGTTGTTTGTAAACTTGGAGTCTCTATGAGTGCAGAAAATTTGAATTTAGTCTCTCTGCTGTTGCAAAGATATCTTTATTATCTGTTTGGATCATATTCCATTTTTTAATGACGTTTTATGAACCATTACATCACAGAAGAGACAACATCAAAACGAGTTGGTCTGAGACACGCCTCTGAAAATGGGTGAAAGAGGGGCTTGTGGAGTTACAATAAGGAGGAAATCAGACCAAAGCATTGCAGTTCCACTTAATAAAGACACCAACTAAATGATTTAAATGGGGGAAAAGAAGGATTTAAAAGCATATATCTACTTTAAAAGGGAATTTTAAGACTTTCAAACAGTAAAAGATTTATTGCCAAAAGACATTGTTATAAAGAGCACAAACACAAATTGGTAACGCTTTCTTTTACGGTACCCTTATTACCATGTAATTACAAGGTAATAAAATGTAATTAAATGTAATTACTGCCTTATTACCATGTAATTACGTGGTAATTACGGTACAAAAGATAAACTACTGTTAGTAAAACTACCTTTATTGGGTAACTACAATCAAACTATTGTTCAGTAGTAACTCAAAACTATATTTATAACCAAAAGAATGCAACTAAATTTTGGGGTTAGTGGTTAAT